AGCAGGGAGCCCGATGCGGGACTTGATCCAGGGACTCCAGGATCATGACCTGAGCCAAAGGCAGTCGCTTAACCAACTGAGCCACCCAGGTGCCCTGTAAATTGCTGTCTTGATGAAGAGTAACAATAAATCCATGACCATAAAAGGTATTTAATAATGAAATAAGAGGTTTGATTATAATGATAATATCCTGAAAAAGAAAGATTAATGGAAATAATCTTACTGTTTTAATTATACCTTTAACTTGTGAATTATTTTATCTTCCTGGATAGTAAGTTTTAACATCCATGTTTCCTTACTAATGAGCAGACATGAGAAAAATGACCCGTACATAAATCTCACGGTTAATGATAAACTTTGAATATGTTTTGACCATACCTTTCCTGGTGGCACTTAGATTTCTGTTTTCTTTCTTTTATTTTTCTCTCTCTTATGGTCTGTTTTAAAAATCATAACCTTATCATTTTCCAAAAACAGAAATAATTATAAGTTAGTGACAGGATTATTTGCAAACTGTAAACGTATCCTGAGTGCTTGATTTTTGCCACTGGGTATTCTAGGAAAAGGAGTGAATGGCAGTGAGAAACATTGTTTGGAAAAAAGTGTAGTGAGATTAAAATTGTGTAACGGCAGACTCTTCTTAGCCTCCTGATGGAAAGTGTGTGTGCGTGCTTGCATGCCTGCGTGTTTGCTTTGGCAGGATTAATTCAGTGAGAAGTGGTGTGGCAAACAAGTTTTATCCTGGATGGCGATGAGTCTTTTCATTTTTATCTGGCATATTGATAGGTGCAAAAAATAATTTGGAACATAATTACTGGATCACATTATTTCAGATATTTGAATACTTATTTTATTCTGTGTAGGTTGAAAAATACTGCTTTTATTGTATTTGCGGCTCAAGTATGTAATTGCTTGGTTAAAACTGTACCATTTCATAGAAACATTGTAAGCTAATGTTTATCCCTCAAGAGATAGAATGGAGCAGCCTTCTGCCTTCAGAGGATTTTTAGGCAGCAAAAACTTAGAGGACTATGAAATATTTGCCCTAAGTCAGGCTGCTTCGAGTATGGAGGGACAGAGGCAGGTGGAAGGATCATGGTAGCACCTGGGACCCGTTTGATTCATTGAGGGGAATGTGGGGCAGACAGCAGGTCTTTTTGAAGAAATTACGTTATAAATCAGTGTGTCTTTCTTTTTCTCTCCTTCTTTTCCTACAGGGCCCTTGTGTCCACGATGAGGATTCTGGCCTATCGCTCACGGGAAAACCTGCCCTTCAGGCTCTTTTATATCACTGCCATTTTTATGAACATTTGAATCAGATGGTAAAACACTGTTACCTGGGACGGTATACATTTGATTTGAATTTTTCTGCTCTTGATGGAACTTCAGAAGGCAGCGATTTAAATGGTAAGTACATTATATTATTTTTATGAAATCTTTTTATAAACTGTTGAAAACCTATGTGTTTGTTACAAAATATTTGAAAAATAATGAAGGTACACAGGAAAACATTATTCTTTGGGCCCCACTATGCAGACATGACCTTTGTTAATGTCAGGGTGGATTTTCTTCAGTCTTCTCTCTCTCTATAGCTTTTGTTTGTTTTACATGATTGTGTTCATATCTATGTACATTTTTGTTCCTTCCTTCCACTAAACATTGCCTAAGCATTTTTCTATGTTATAAATTCTTCATGGAAACCATTTTGACATTTTACTAATGTTTTATAAGTTATTCCATGCCCTTCAGTAAAGTTTTATAGTTTTTTTTCTCTATTAGATGTTTTAAACTTTTTGGAAGGTTCTTCCTAGGCAATCAAGAATGAGACCTTTTCCTACTAAATTTTCTAATTTGTTGTGCTAATATATCAAAAAGCTATTTGTTTTTGGTACGGTACTAATTTCTCAAAACATCTTGCTGAAACCTTTCTGTTTCTATTTATAGATTCTTTTGGATTTCCTATGATCTTAGCACATATAAATACTTTTGTCTCATAATAATAAATAACTTAATGATTTAAAAAATAAGTTTTATTTTAAAATTAATTTTTAATAGTAACTTTTGAAAGTCTTTACATGGGGCGCCTGGGTGGCTCAGTCATTAAGTGTCTGCCTTCGGCTCAGGTCATGGTCCCGGGGTCCTGGGATCGAGTCCCACATCGGGCTCCCTGCTCCGCGGGAAGCCTGCTTCTCCCTCTCCCACTCCCCCTGCTTGTGTTCCCTCTCTCACTGTGTCTCTCTGTCAAGTAAATAAATAAAATCTTTAAAAAAAAAAAAAAAGAAAATCTTGACATAATTTCACACTTATAGAAAAGATGCAAGAATGCAAGAACATTCTCAAATGTTAACATTGTACTGCATTTGTTCCCCTATGCCATGTGTATGTATATGTATGTGTGTATAAATAAAATTTATTTATTTTACATATCTATATACATATATATGTTTTTTTCTTATATATATATATATATATATATCTGAGCTATTCTAAGAGTGAATTGCAGACATAGTTCCTTTACTCCCAGACTTAAATGTGAATTTCTAATTCACTTTTCTGCTCAATTCTTGGAGGAAATAAGAGGAAAATGACATTTGATGAAGGTTTTGAACATTTTTTTTTTTTTTAAAGAGGAAGAGAGCGAGAGATGGGGTGGAGGGAGGGGTAGTGGGAGAGGGGAAGAGAATCTTAAGCAAGCTCTGCATGCAGTATGGACCCTGATGTGGGGCTTCATTTCCTAACCCTGAGATCATGACCTGACCTGAAATCAGAGTCAGATGCTTAACCAACTGAGCCATCCAGGCGCCCCAGAAATTTCTGAAAATTTAAATAAATGCCCTTATTAGGAAAGTGACCCATTTCATTGTTTGGATTTCTCTGGATCAGTGTTACTCGAAGCATGGCCCTTGAACCAACATCATTGAAATCTTTTGTGAACTTGTTAAATGTAAAATTATGGCTCCCACCCTGATTTGAGGGAGTAGAATCTCTGGGAATAGGACCCAGGAAATTGCTTTAACAAACGCTTTATGATTCTTAGGCACATTAAAGTTTGGGAGCTGGTGGTCTTGATAAATTGTATTAGATTTAGGTAAGCAAACTCCACTAATTGTCATTAAAATTTTTGTGAAACAAGCTTTATACATAAATTAATTAAGAATAATAACAATTAAGCAACCTTTTTTCCTTACTTCTTGGTTGGTTTCCTGTAACAAGTTCTTGATTGGTTTCCTATAACAAGTATTCTTTCTTTTAAATGTTCCAGTACCCAGGAGACTGTATTCATATTGACAGTTTTCCTGTCGTCACAGGTTTAGATGACTCATTCAAGTTTTGGAGGGCTCCATCTAGGATGTCCAATCAAGATCAAGATTCAAGTTCTCTCTCCACCTTGGAAACAATGGTACTTCTAAAGAATGCATAAGTGCTTTATTTTGAATCTCTGAAAAGATTTGAATTTACATAGTGGACGATAAGACGGTATAAGGTTATGATTAAAGTAGCTGTGATTTACTTGTTTATTTTTTTTGAAATTTTTTATTTGCTTATTTTTTTTAAGTAATCTCTGTAGCCAGCATGGGGCTCAGACCCACAACCCTGAGATCGAGAGTCGCATGCTCCACTGACTGAGCTAGCCAGGCGCCTGACAGCTGTGATTTTTTTGAACTGCTGTCTGTGTAGAACTAGGGTGTGATGTACTCATATAGCTACACTGAATGTCCTTTTAGATGAATTTACAACCTTTCTTATACCTTATTTGATAGAACCAGAAGCATAAAAGTTTAAAAATGTTTATCAGTAGTAATAGAATAGATCCCATCTGATAATAATGCTTGAATACCATGCAGTTTTGCTTAAGGGCAAAGCAATTTGGAGAAAGTGGACCCATTCAAATGATTCCAGTTTGGTAGTGGAGATTTTAAGCTTTTTTCTAAATATTTGCAACAGATAGACGCTTGTTTTGATTATCTGAAATACCAGAAATTTATGCCTGCCTGCCTTCCTTTTTCTTTTCATTCATAAGTTGCTTTGTTCTAAAAAGTTTGAGACACACTTAGTATTTCTAAATATGACTGATACTAGGTTTCACTTGTTTTACAAGCATATGAAATCATTTCCTCTCAACTGGGAAACATTACATTGCATCCTAGAGTGTTTTTGGAACAGTTACTGTGTCGTAGACCCTATCAGGAAGGCAAAGGCTTGGCCCTCCTGCTACAGGAGCAAAAATAATATGAGAATAATAAATGATTATAAGGCAATAATAAGATTCACTTCCTGTAGTTTCTCAGCACTGGTACTTTTTGCTGCAGTTTTAGGAGTTATTTTTTATCCCTAGACTCAGAAGAGTTTGTGGTTAGTGCTGCATTGAACCTTTATTTGGAAAAGTAGGGTAATTACCCCAGTTCCACTAGATGTCATGCTTTCCTTTCCATGCTAGAAATAGTATGTATCTTCGTCTCAACAAGAGAAATAATATGATTAAATGCAAAAAAGACTGTATTAGTTATTTAATTCACAGAAGGGCAGCATTAATATGTGCTTAAAAGTAATTCTTAGGCTTCCCTGTTTATTGAAAGGGCTATCTGTAGACTAACCTTGAAATTTGTACATTCTTCAATTCTTTGCTTATAGTAGGTACTCAGTAAGTAGCAATTGCTCTAATTAACTTTGAGTCATCTTAGCTGTTTTGTAGATACCAAGTTGTATTTATCCTATGCAAGAATACTTAAGTACTTTTGCATTTCTGTATTTGATAAGAGAATAGTAATAATATGTATACAATATATAGTAATATATATTTTAATAATAACAAATATAGATCAAGATACTAGATTTTCTGAGGAAAATCTTAGAAATACATTATTTATTGTAATCATTATTAAAATAGAAGCACCTCTATTAGCATAAGACTCTTTAACCTGTGTTTGGATGTTACATATTCTTTTAGAAATATATACCAATGAAATCTTTTTTTTTAAGAAATCTTATTACAGTTCTATGTGAGATTGATTTTGTGTAGTTTCTCAAGAGATAATTATCTATCAGTCAACTCTTCCTTTTCTTCTTTTGGATTCCAAATAGAAGAGCTTTGGTATTGGTGACTTACTCACCAGATTGGTGGCTTTTATTCACAGAAGTAGTCTCATTACCAAATTTTGCTAACTGTCATGTTTTTCTTGCCATGCGAGATACTGTATGTTTTTGTTCCAACAGGAAAAATAAATTTGGAGAATTTATTCATTATATCAGTATTTATTTATTTATTTTTAAAGATTTATTTATTTATTTTTGTGGGGAGTGCTTGGGAGGGAAGGGCAGAGAGAAAGGAAGAAACCTCAACAGACTGCACTGAGCACAGAGCCTGACACGGGGCTCCATCCCACAACCCCGAGATCATGACCTGAGCTGGAATCAAGAGTCAGACACTTAACCAACTAAGCCACCCAGGTGCCCATATACTAGTATTACTTTAAACCTAAGCTGTCATACCTAGACCAGCTAATAATTTCTTTTTTTTTTTTTTTAAGATTTTATTTATTTATTTGACGGAGAGAGAGCGAGAGAGTGAACACAAGCAGGGGGAGTGGGAGAGGGAGAAGCAGGCTTCCCACTGAGCAGGGAGCCCGATG